CCAATCTGAACAGCTCCAGCAACACTGAAAAGTCCAAGTACAAAGTCTCCTCTTAGACCCAAAGCAAACTCTCACCTGTGTAGCTCTGTAAGTATCACAAAGAAGATAAGCAATATCTACACACAATGGCACAGGATAAACACTCCTAATTCAAGAGGCAGAAACAGTGATATAGAAAGAAATGGGACCACATCAAGGGCAAAACCCAACCTAGCAAAAAATAAACCCTGTAGATCCAGTTTCAGCACCCAGGAAAGTTGTGACACTGAGATGTGTTCTCCATAGGCATGGGGAGCCGTGGCACCTATGACATAGCTGGTGACTGCAGATCTCATAGCTTCCCTTCTGGGCTGGCTTTGTTCAGTTTGTTGTTTTCCTCAAATGTTTCACATTCTTGGCCTCTCTCACCTTGTGGGTCTCCATTGCACTTTCAACTTTACTGTCAACTTCATGCACTGGACTCTCAGGGCAGCCTGCCTGGACTCCAAGGCCTTCTTCTGAGATCTGGTGGAAGCCTCTCTGACCCCACAGCTCTTGCATTCTGCACGCCTGTGAGACCAGCAACACTGATCCTGTGAAGGTCTCTTTCCAGCTTAAGCTGTAGCCACGTCGTCTTGAGTTGTGCCTGTATTGGCCTCTCAGTACTAGATTGCTGAGCATGCTTACTGAATCCCTGGGAATTCAGCAGCCATGCTTCTTCTGCAATAAAATGCTCTGGGCCTTTCTTCTCAAAGCAAATGGTTTTGCCTTGGTAACTTTGAGCTTACATATGGTGGAGCCTTGCATGTTCCCCTGATGCCCTCTGAAATTCTTCCTATTGTCCTGATCCAAAATGGTTGGTTTATAATCCACCTTTCCTCTGCTCATTTTTTGAGAGTGTTTTTTCCTGGCAAACCTGGGCTTTATGTTGCTGATATTCACCTGTATACATCAGGCTAAAACCAGAATGCCATATTCATGCTACATGCTGAATTTTAGGCTGACTTAAAATTTCTTCTGCCAAGGGAATCAGTCTGCATCCTTAATATCAGTAGCCCACAGTTTTAGAGCATGAGCAAAATTTAGACAGGTTTTCTGCCATAGTGTAACACACATGGCCCAGAATCCAACTTCCAACGGAGTTCTTGTTCCCTACTAAAACCACGTGAACCTGCCCTTAACTTTTGCCCTTTTTAAAATCAGGATTCTGACCTTCTGAGCTCTGAACAGAACCTTGCACCAAGCTCTGCACACAGTATCCTTAGGACTTTTCTAGCAAGGATCCACAAAACATATCTAACTCCGCCCATGAATCGGTTCTACAGGCTTCTGAACCACAAGGTCAGGCAGCAGTCACAGCAACAGCCCCACTCTCAGTATCAATACCTGTTATAGTCACTTTTCTGTTGCTGAAGAAAAATATCCAACACTGGAAACTTTAAGGAAGAAGAACTTATTTTCGCTCTGTTGGTTGAGGTTTCAACCCATAGCTGAACACACCAAGGGCAAGGCATTGTGACCAAAGGGAACAGCAGACGGCAGCTTCTTATGCCGTGGTACCCAAGAAATCCAGAGTGTACGGAGGAGCGGGCTGGCGGTAACCCTCACAGGCCATGCCCCTAGTGACCCACGTCTTCTCACCAGGCCCCACCTCCTAATGTCAAATCAGATCCATTCCTCAGTAATCCCATTGCCTCCTCAAAGCACCTAAATGCTCTAGAAAGACACCTAGGTGTACAGCATAACACTGACTCAGAACCCACAAGAGGGGCGTTTAACATCAAATATGAAATGTAGGTACTATTTTCTGTAGCCTTAACAAGTTCTGAACACATCCTGTGGTCTCTGAGGTCCTGGGTTGCTATGCTGCAGGATTCAGTTCAACCAGGTATTCAGAAGTCATGATCACATATTCTACCTGCAGAGGTCTGCATTGTCCTGAGTGATTAGATGGCTAAATCCCTGCCTCACACAGTTGACAACAAGGAGAATCAGCACTTGCTTGGATCCCAGCTATTCTCAAACTCTCCCGTGAAGACTGGATGGTGCACTCTGATTGTCACAGGAATTGTGGGATATTTTCCTCCTTTTCTGGATTATTTTTGTGTTTTACAACTACACAGTTATGAACATCATTGCTTTTATGTTATGTATATTGCAAATATACACTTATAGTATCTACAAAAACTGTTTGATACAGATCAATCAAGAAGTAGGTGTTGGGGCTGAGGATTTAGCTCAGCAGCACAGTGCCTGCCTGGCAAGCACAAGGTCATGAGTTCGATTCCCGGTACCAGAGAAAAAACAAACAAAAACAACAAAAACAACCAAGTAGGTGTTTTCAGTTTCATGCCCAATGATCATAGGATAAATTTTATCCTTCCTTCTTTCATATTATAAATAATTAACTTCACCAGCTGTACCATTTTTAACCTTGAAACTTAAAAAATAACCTCAACAAGTGCTAGCAGTTCTGCAAAGAGCAAACCAACTAAATAGATTCTTGTTTAGTTTTGACCTTGGGGATTAGATTCATGAATGTTATGTTAGTGCTTTATCACTGAGTTATATTCCAGATCTATAATTCTTTTTCCATAAAATGCAAAACCATTCTGCACTGTGTGTTTCATGACTGGTGAGAAAAGAATTCCAAAATTTAGTTGCTTAAAACAGAAATAACCCCCATTACTCTGTGATTTCTGTAGTGCAGTTAAGGTATTTGGGGCTGATGGGGAAGTTGGAGTTTGGTTCTCTCAGGACATTGCAGTTTCTAGTTGCTTGCCCTGGAGCTGCATAATCCAGGCCACAGTTAGGAATTGATATGCCTAGGAGCGCCCAGCCTCAGACTCTGCGTCACCTCCACAGGACTGAGTGATCATCCTCTCCACTGGCTTCTGTGGGAGGAGTGAGTGATGCAGGTGATCAAGTACAAGGTGGTCTGTAGGATGTGACCTCAATGTACTGTTATACCCGCTGCATTATGTTAGGCACAGCCGTCATCCCGTGAAGGTGTTTGCACACAGCGTCATCAGGACATTAATGACAGAAGTTAAAGATCCTCAGGAGAGAGGTAGACAGATGTCATCAGTCTTAATCTTATAGTCAGATAAGCAGTGACCCATGCACACATCAGTGAAACCCTTACACCAGCAACAAGCAGAACACTTTGATCACTCCAGGAAATCTCCTCAGTCCTGTCTCAGTCAATTAATCCATCCCCAAGATGAATAACCTGCACTTTGTTTTGAAAATGTGGACTAGTCGTGTCTGGTCAAGAACTCCAGAGATGTGGACACAAACAGGGTGAAGTCTTTGCCATTCAGTGTATTTTTTCAGCATAGCTGTGATAATCACATTTTCTGAATGTAAAAGCAACTTTTTGTTTTACTTTTAAATTATATTCAGTTGCATAAATGTACTAAAGCTTATTCATAAATTCTCTAAATGAGAATTGAGTACTTTTTCAATGCTTAGAAAATCATATAGAAGCTGCTATGAAATTTTTATGCTGACTTCTGTATTTCTGTTCCTCTATAGTGCAAAACTAGAGGTGGAGATGCAGGTCATAGGATGATTGTATAACTATGAGCATCTTCTAATAACACTGCCATGGTGTTTGTAGTATTTTACAGTCCCACCAGCAATGTGTGAGAGTTCAGTTTTCACTATCCTCATTGAGTTTTTTCTATAATTTTCCCAGGCTGAACACTGGCGGCATGTAAGGTTTTTATTGTTTAATATGATGGAAGGTGGAGATCAGCGGCATGGATTCTGTTTAGTATTCCCGGTTTCTGTGGCCTTTTACAGAGAGATGTTTAGCTGGGCATGGTGGAGTGTGCCTGCCATCCTTGTACTCAGGTGGCTGAGGCAGGAGGATCGTCGTAAGTTTGAGACCAGCTTGGTCTACATAGTGAGTTCCAAGACCAACCTGAACTGCAAAGTGAGACTCTGTCTCAAAAAGACAAAATGAGAGAGAGAGAGAGAGAGAGAGAGAGAGAGAGAGAGAGAGAGAGAGAGATGTCCTTGAACTGAAATTCATTTGTCCAGACATTTACTAAAGAAACCCATGCACATGTGAAATCTAAACATATAAAAATGTTAAGTTCATAGAAGCAGAGTAAATCACCTGTTACCAGAAGATGGGGTGGGGAGGGTAACAGGAAAGTCAAGGGTGTCAAGGGTGCAAAGTTTGAATCAGAAGATGGACGTGTTCTAGAGAATCCATATCCAGCATGGACGGTGAGGGCTCTCTCAGTCTGACTGTGGTAAACATTTCACAGTGTGTACACATCCCATAGCAAACCATCTTTTATATGTTTCATATATATCATCATGGCCGATTAAGTGTTTAAAAAATTTTTTTTGCTATCAGGAATCAAACTCAGGACCTTGCACTTGCCAGGCAGGCGCTTGTGCCACTGAGCTACATCCCCGGCCCTAAAATTTAAAACAGGATAAAAATTGGAAAAGGGAGGTTGGGCTATGTATGATGTTCGACCTGCCTGAATGTCCTTGCTATTGGTCTTATTGATAAGATTCAGTTTTACTCAGTTTGTTGATATCCCATACAACAGGGATCCCCACACACTGATTTTACCTTAAACATGGTCAACCAAATAAGTGCATCTGACCTTACCAGTCAAGAGATCATGCTCAGTGGTGGAGTATAAAACACTGTTACTCTGTTCTAAAGCATGGTGGGAAATGCATGGCAGTGATTCTTGAGGGAAGCTGCCAACTTTTTTCAGAATCTCACCCTCAATCAGGGAGAACAGGAAGAAGTTGCATTTCTCAAAGCTGACAGGGATAAAGGGAAGTGTAAAGCAGATGCAGACCACATGGGTGAGCAGGAGAAACAGGCAAATAACAGGGTTTATACTTAATTTTCCACATGGCTGTAAAGCAGCTTGGGCCCTTGGAGGCTAATGTCTCCAGCCCTGACCACGCAGCATCCCGGCTGGGACGCTGTGTGCTGACCTGGTCAATGGAGACGAGCTCTGCAGAAGGCCCTCAGCTGTGCTCTAAGGAGGACCAGATTCGTCTGGTGTTGGCACTGGGGAGATGACGAGGCTGGGATAATGTCCTAGAGAGGGAAGCCCAGGCATGAAACACGGCCTCAGGGGCAAACTGAACTTGCCTGTGAACGTATGGAGGAGAGTAAGCTGCTTCACATCATAGAAAGAGATCGATCCTTCACACTGCAAAAGAATCCCCACCACCGAGAGAGGTGCTGCAACCTTAAAATTATAACGGGGTAGAGAAAGAGCCCGGTAATTATCATGAGTCCTGTTAATGCTCCAAAAACCATTCTCAGGATGAACATCCTTGAAGTGTGTTTCCCTGTTGATCGAATCTGAGCACAGTCCTACTGTCCACGTTTCACTCCCTCCTACGTCCACCTCCCAGTAATGGTGCCCAGTAAAGAAGCTGTTCCGACCCAGCACAGCTCGGAGAACAGTAAACCTTCTACGGTTTGCAGGAAGAGCTCGCGCTGTTGGCAAACATTCAACACGTTTCCCACGATCTAACACCAAGAGCTGAGGGTGAGCAGTGACTTCATCCAGAATTATGTCTTCTGCAAAAAAGGAAGAGACCCATTACCTGTAGGCCTTGAGAGAAGAGCTTTGGATTCGTGAGTGCTGTCAAAGGAGGGGTGAGGACACAGCACATGGGTCCAGGAGTCCTTTCCACAGCCCACGGCCCATGACCCCGCCCACCTACAGATGTGGAGATCTTTCCTTTCAGGGAAACCCCTTCAAAACCCTTCACCTCTGGACCTGATCTGTGCTGTCACCTCAGTTTCTGAGGACACGGTTGGTAGGAATGGGGGACATGGGGCCGACACCTGGGAAAGGTGTTACCAGTGTCTGATGC